TGATCGATATGTCAGTAAACAAGATAAATGTAATGTGTTAGTTTAAAAATACTGTTCACTTCGCCTACACAATACATACAAAATTGCTTAGATGCAATAAAGTAGAATCATGAATCAGAATGGTTGTTGTATAGCTGACAAAAGTTGAACCTTGCACTGATGCAAATGTTTTATAGAGGCTGCAAGGGGTTTACACTTTTGTTGAAAAACTGTTACTGAAGCTCTTATACAACCTCTTACGTGACTGAAGTATCCTATTAGATGTGCCCATTCCGCTTGTATAGCTACTCTAAGAGCGTTTTACCAATGCTCTTACAACATACAATGCTGTGTGAGGAATACTGTATAGTCATTCTTGCAACCCTAATAGGCGTAATAATTGTTAGTTGGAATGTTTTATGCAAAACCTTTGCTTGTGATCAGCATATATCTGCGAGAGAAAATATGGTCAAAATATTTAATTACCATCAGAGTCGCTGTTAGACTCATAATTTCTGGTTTCGAGAAGGATGCAATATTTCTATTAAATTAATTTTGTATAATAAGGGTTGGTGCTTATATTACGAGAGAAAGAGAGAGAGAGTATATTTACCATACCGCTGAGACTTCAAAATATCCACATAAAAAATTTTGGTTCTCAAATTGCTCTGCAATGAAAGATAACAGACAGTTAAAATTTTTGCATTTAAAATTCAATGTATAATAAATATATGTATACCCTTTGTGTGAGTCTTCTATCTATAGAGAATGAGTCGCAGTCGACTTGCTTGAAAATTTAGTAAGATACATTTCTTGTTCTCCACAACAAAAATGTCCACACAATGACTAGTTTCCGAGAAATAGGTTGATAAAGTTTTCAATTTTCAAAAATGGTGACTGTGCCGGTTGTAATTCTTAGGCCAAAAACTCTGAGAATCAGTATTTCGTTAAGGATTCTTTTTGTAGGTTTACTATACCCATACACCATACAAAGTCTTTTGTAGATAGTGCTTTGATTCGTTGATGAAAACGACTTATAAAGTCAAGATACCAAGTTTTTCAAGTGGGAGACGTACCTATAAAATATTATATAGAGGATACATTGGATAATGCCGTCACCTCTAGGCAGGAAATCAATGGCAGCTATCCACGGAAGAATTCGATAAATCCTTAGTTACGAAGACAAGATGGGTAGTACGAGAGTTATTCAAAAACTGCATGTACCAAATCTAGGAACGTTTATAAAATATATAATGCTCTTATTGATAGGGACGCATTAACTGTTAGCAACGGCGTTAGAGGCGTAGATGTCCGCAAAAGGAATTTGCTCACATTTTTAGAACACAATAAAGCGTCGACTGTGTATATCCTAAAAAAAAGTATAAGTGTATTAAATAAATAGTTAATTAAACACAACACCCTAAAGCTACATTCACATTAGTGAACTTTTTCTTTCGGATCCACCTTCAAAATCAACATGACCTTAATTTGAATTTTTAAGTCAAGGAAACGGCCACGATTTTTATGTGCCATTGAAAAGCTACCTGTCCTATTGAGTTTTCAGAATTCTCATGCCATATCTGTTCCAGCATAAACATACGAAAGTCAACTTGCCTTGCAAGAAGCTTTGTAACCATCATGGTTACAATCAACATGACACCTTCCTATAACGTGTTTTAACGAAATATTTCTTTTAGTATACTGATTCTGGGACCTTCGGGTCTGAGAACTGCAATATGCACTTTCACCATTTTTGCAAATCAGCAAAACTGCTTATTTCTCAGAAACTAATCATAGAATTGCTTTGCTCCTGTGGACATTTTCGTTCGGGGAGGCAGAGAATATATACTGAATTCTTAGACACAAACCATTTTCCATATCTTCTTTGTGCCTAGTCATTTGCAGAAATATATAAGAAGGTGCCATAATGTTCGCCTGATCTTTTGATTCTTACCTTTCTCGAAGCATTCAACAAATTCAATTCAGAAATTGCCAGGTCTCAATGCATTGGACAAGGAGTAGTTGCAAGGCCGCAAGGGTCAAGACATAAGTCCAAATTAAAAAAAAAAGGTTACTTACCTTATACTCTAATTTCTTGTTTCTATGTACTTATGTTTCTAAAATATTTGGATATATTTGACAGCAGTGGTGCTAAGAACTTGAAAAAACTCGCTATCAAAATGTGCTTCTATATTGTGTATGGTGACCAAAGCATCCTTAGCTTTATCTTTGATCCTAATACAACAGACAAACAAACGCTACCATCTAATGCAAACAACAGTCCGTTCAGGCATTGTAAACATTGAAATATCTTGTTATCTTTCGTTGAACATGAGCAAAACAACTTAATCCCCTAGGAATGCGAGCCGGCCATTTTGGCAAACAATTGATGTTTAAGCGGATGGTAATCGGCTCTGTCAACCTCTTTCAGGTAACAACTGACATATAGGCGGTTCTTAACAGGCTCATAAAGTCAAGATAGATGTAGCAATACAGGATTATGCTTGTCTTCTGAGCTTGTTTTGGACGAGCTGTTGTTATGAGGCATAACAATCTGTTAAATGAATTACCCAGAATTTGTGTTTGACTCATTGGGTTGAGGAACATGCTGATAGGACGATCGGCATATTTTAATTAAGTGTTCACGAGTGCCTCAATTGTGTTGTGTAGTCTGTTTATTCTAATTTATCGTCTTCCCATAGTACTTCTATAGGTGGCTGGTGAAATGTCATCAAATGTGTCTAAAGAATCTGTTTTTATTAGAATCTCACCGCCTTGTAGCAACAAAATACCTGCACATACCTTAAAGGGTCTTTGGGGGAAAGAGAAAAGTTCGTATAAACATACTTAAATTCAAGAATAATTCCTTTTATAGGTACAGGTGCCAAACTTTATTTGAAAACCCGTTTCCCCGAAGTCGTAATAAGTTTTTAGACAATTTTTTTAAAGCCTGATTACTTAAATTGGACACCCTCTTGAAAACGACGCATTGTGGAAAATGTATCGTTTATTTGAACTTTTTTAAACCAGCCAATGAAATATTCCTTGAAGTTATTAACACAATTTCATTTCACTTGTTCAACCTTGTACGATTTCCTTAAAATGAAGTGATATATGCCGAGTGTCCAGTTCAGTTTGTGCAGCAGTGCATATTTTCATAGCATACAAAAAATTGAGTATGCAATTGAAAGAACTGAGATACATTTAGCCAAAAATTATATTTGGTAAAATAGCCAAGACGCCCATTCATTATTTGTGTTTGACAATTTTCCCTTTAAACTTATAGACTGAAACCAGATAATAAAACCTCAAAGGATATTTTTTACTTTAAGGATTTGAAAACACTGCATTTCAACGTATATTGATGAGTAAACTGAATGAAGTATTATCTGAAAATGCAAATAAGTATACTATAAGGGAATCGAACAATCAGTATTTCATATCTTTTTGCTTGCCTGCTCTGAATAAAAGAAGATGACTAATTTTGGGACCATGCATCACTACTTAGAACTGACGTAAGCCTCAAGATTGTATCCTTGCATTATCTTATCAGTTTCCCACCGAAAATGCTGGTAAAGATGACTGTGTAAGCTAATTTGTTCATGAAGATTTCCGATTGTTTGCTTTTGTTGCATTAGTCATCTTTAAAGACGGCGTCTCGCGGTTGGTAACAAACCCTTCTTAGTATCACCTCTGGATATTGGTTTATCTTCTGTTACGTAGCTAGTCCAAGCTACTATTATAAGATACTTATACATTCAGTAAATGCAAGAGGTTTTCTAAAAAAGAAAAATCTTTACTAAGTTTACTAAACATGATCTTCATATTTTTTCGGTAACCGATTCTTTTTGACGTTGTGCTAAATATCGATTGCAAAATAGACTGTTATTTTCTTCATAACGCTTTTAGAGCCTGCGTGCTTGGTTAAGGTATTGCAAAATTATGATCCTCACATGTCTTTTTTTTATCTTTTCTAATTTACTTATCTTCATATGCTTTTTAGCAATTACCATCAAGTATCCATTAAATATGAATGTATGCGAATTTGAAGGTAATATCATAGCCACCTTTACCTTACACGCTATGAAGTAAGAAACTTGGCAATGTTGTAGTAGTCCTGAACGATCCTCAGCTGAACCACCCTTATTGCTTTTTACTCGTAATTCACTTGTTTTACATTTGATATGTCACCAGATGGGTCAGTATTTTTCTCATCGTCAAATTAATCATCATTAGGGAACATGTAGCTAGCAAGAACTGTTTGTTGTTTTCATGATTTCGTTTGAACTTGGTCATTTTAAAGAGGTTGCAGGTCTGGTGCCAGTTAGCAAAATTACCGATTTGAAAAAATACGGAATCGATTAGATTAAAGGTGTGCGAAATTACAGATGTAAGGTTATATGCATCATATCAGATAACCGTATCTTGAATCAAAGTACGATCCATCGTCTGTCAACACAGTTCTATATCAAAAATCTCAAATTTGTTAACGAAAATATATTTCTCCTCTTTGATTTTGACCATATATATAAAAATGTCTGAATTAATTGACTGAATCAAAAAGTCGTTGAAAAATACTCCATTTTTCCAGACATGAATAAACATTAGATTGAACTTAAAGAAACGTACCTTGATTTGACGGAGCTTTATAAGTCAGAAATAAAAAATATTACTAAAAGAACATTTAACTTAAATCAGTCCCTCTATCCGAATAACTGAGAAAGGTAAATCGATAACTAGGTGGTAAATATTTTCCATGAATCCGCCACAGCCGCACTACAGTCATGTAGTTTTTTGTGGAGGGACTGCATCATTTCTAAAAATTATAAAAACTGATGGCGTATAGTTAATGTTAAAAGTAACTTTAAAGGGCAAATTGAGAGAAACATACAGTAAACTCTCAACTGTCCGGTTCGCCGCTATCCGAACTCCGGCTTATCCGGCTCGCCTAGGACGCGTCGCCGCTAAACATAATTTTTACGCAGCAGGCAAAAATAGAAGCCTTTTTAAAAAGTAACACATATGTAGATTATTAAAATGTATATAATATAATATACATATTATTATCTAGGAATTATGTAATGTACTAAATATATTTATGCATTTTCTCATACCTTCATAAGTACAAATGTAAGTTCTGAGTTAAAATACATTTGATACCTACATTGATTCGGCTTATCTGGCTTTTTCGTTATCCGGACTAGCTGCCCGCCACCTTAGGCCGGATAGTTGAGAGTCTACTGTATTTGCAACACTAACATCATCTGAAAATGATGATAAATTAATATTTTTACGAAACTCGTTAAATGACAGTATTCGACTGCTGAAGGTCTAACAACAGACACATAAAATGCATTGAGAAAAAGATCCCTACTTTTAATAGGAACTGTCAAATATTCTTGTACAAAATTTGATATAGACTATATTTCACCTGAAAAATTTCAGAATGTTAATTTGGAAAAAGGTTAAGTTGATTCAGAAACCTGTCTGAATTCAATAATAATGTTTCTGTAAGACAAATATATCAATGAGAGGAAGATATTCGAATACAGAATTCCCTAGAAACCAGTAAATTCAGTGACCTGTCACTTATTTGCTTTGACAGACAAAGATATTGATAACAGAATTCAGTTTCGTCCCAAGTATACATTACTTGGAAACATGCGCTTTGGATGAGTCGGCTCAAGGGTAAATTTGTGGATATGCAGCTCATAGAATTGAAATTAATCAAAGCATAACATGTCAAAAATTTCAAACAAATCATAAAAAGTAGTATAGTAACGATGAAGCTAGATGTATCATTATTTGTGTGTCATTGAATATATTATCAACAAGCCAGCAGCTCGTTTGTAATTTTTAGGAAAAACCAACCATAAATATTTGCTAGCTCCTTTGGCGTTGACGAATTCAGAGACTAGTGAGTTCCTTGTAGATTTTTCTACGTTTTGCGAATCCGGTGCTCCCGCCAGACAAATATATTTCAAGGTGGCACTGACATTTTGAATTATTGTCATACATCAATTTAGTGAAGGGAAAAGTAATACTTTCTATATCCTCGACGAAAAAAAAGCTTAAAATATTAAATCATTGAATATTTTATATTATTTGTTCTTACCTTTACCTTTTCCTCTTAGAGCATTTAGCACGTTTTCTATTGATACCTACATGTTATTGTATACAAGAATTTTGTATCTATTCTATTGTTTATAGTAAATAACTTTAAAATATTGATTAATACCTTATTTTTACTGTGAGGCATTTTTTGAAATTCAGTCATACTGTTATTACTTTTATATCTAGTGGAGATGTTTTATTAATTTATAATTGGATTTGACTAGATTCATATGGAATTCCGCTGACCAATTCAAGTTCTAGATTGTAAACATGGAATTCGACTAATTAATTTATGCCAGGTATTTAATGAACGTTTTTACATAAGACTAGTACTCTGGACTACCTTAAACTAGTACTGCGATATTGCTTATTTTACTGTATGGCTTGTATGGTAAAGGTGGCTATGATAATACATATAGTATAATTTACAACTTTGAGTATCCGAATAAAATAACAGAAACGTTTCGACGTCCGTGCTCATCTAATTCTTTGTTATTAATAACCTCAATACGATCCAAAAATTTTTATGAGTAAAGTCATGGCAATTATGCATTTGCATATACGTATATAAAGGGTGGACTCAGTTCGCGGCATCTACATGGAAAATAGATTTCTTCGGATATGTTATCGGTTACGATATGCATACTTAACCATCACCCGGTGGCATCGAGTAATGACAATCCGTTTTAGAAATTATGGACGTTAATCGTGGAAAAAATAGCACAGAAGATTTCTTTCTCAATACCTAGAAGTATATGTACCCTTTTCAAATGCCTAGTATTGTTGTATATCCTGACAAATTCGCATCCTTCAAAAGAATAGGTATTCCAGGAACCCCAAACTAATAACTACACAGAGGAAATATTAAAAAACAGAAATGCAGTTTTGTTTCCTCTGGTTATTATTCAGATGTAGTTTCCAAAGATGTGACCATGTTATCATCGTGATAGGTGGTGTACCTTCGGTATGTCGATGATAAGAACCAGTCGGGCGTACGTGCTTGCCTCGGGCATTAGCATTACGCATTGTTCTTGCTTTCATGTGACGGTCTTAACCTGTTCTACAAGCAACACAGGCAAAATCCAACGTTATTCTAGGAAAACGCTAATTTTTAGCTTAGTCGTAATATCTAACACTAACATGATCATAGTTCCTATAAATATCCGCCGTGTATACAATGGGTATCTGCAATTTTGGACATATTCGATTATTGATACTTGGAAAGTCCATGTCATTTTCTCTACTCATTGACACAACATTGACCATAACAAACAATAGTTTTCTTAAAATTTTATGACTATGCCCCAATTCCATGTCACGGCAGGTATAACCTTTCCTTCACAAGCGCCATATGATTAAATTGTGAAAACCCCGATTAGATAAGTTCATTTTCCATCATTGAAGTATGAGGGAACTGTTTTATGTCCACTGCTTTTTAATATATCCTTAAATAATATATTTTAAATTGGCTATGTGAGCAAAATAGTATGTTTCGCAGATGACACAGCAGTTTTTTATGAAGGTGATAATTTGCTTAATTTGAAAAGTATAGTTGAAAATGATTTTGTCAAAATTATCCAGTGGATTAATAATAGGAAATTGAGCATTAATTACTCTAAAACAATTTTTTCACTATTTTAATCCTATTCCAGACATCTAACAAATTACACAACCATCCCATTTATCGTAAATAACCAGAAATTCGAAATTAACAGAGCACCAGACAAAAAAATACCCTGGAATATTCCTGGATCAACACTTGCGTTGGTATGTTCACATTTCATATATTTTAAAAAAAAATTGTTATGTGTCGTATAAAATTAAATATACCAAAAACATTTTAAAAGAAGAATATCTTTATACCTTATACCTACCTTGATCGAGCCGCATTTAACCTACGGTATATTTGCATGGGGGCCTACATGCTCAACTCCTATTCGTGATTTACATATTTTTCAAAAAACGATTTTAAGAGCAATGTTTAACAAATCAAAACTGTATCCAACTGATGTCTTATACAAAGATACAAATGTATATGACTTAAAATAGCTTTATCTCTTACATGCTATAACCAACTATCACAGATTTATACAATAACGACCAAAAAATTTAACATAATCAACAGTTGTACCTAGGCTAAATAAATCTACAACGCAACGACCATCCAAAATTATACATAAATTTACCTGACGATATAAAAGATCTAAGTTTAGGAAGTAAGTACAAGAAAAATTTAAAAGAATGCATTTTTTATTTGGCAAGATCAGACGTATGTATATAAATTTATAATAAATGTGATCAAATAATTCGTTGATTGTGTCTGTATTCATATTCCGATAATACAGTTGTGAAATCAATGGTCCATGTACAGGCAATGCCTCTTATGGGCCGATACTTCATATTTATTTATTCATTCTTTGTATTGTGTTTCAAGAGTAAGTAAATATTACTATTATTATTAGATATTTGAATATAAAAGAGGTATCCCCAGTATTCATCTATAGTCTTCTTGGTGAGCATGTTTTGCTTGTCTGTCTTGTAGGACTAATGTATGGCGGCTTCAAGGAATAAAGCGCAGATGAGCACAGTGCGTTGGCACATCGGTGAGGGGAAGACAGACCATAGGCGTCCGTTGTTTAGAAGACTAATTTTAATGATTAACATGATACGAAAAAGGTATCGTAGCTTCCATCAGAATTTGTGAGGTCACGCATTTAATGTAAAACATTATCTGCAACGTGCAAACGTACTTTTTATATCAAAAGGTCAGCTTCGTTGTTGCGATCCATTAGTACTGGATTTTCATGTGTGTGAAAAATCATACTTAAGTGTGGTCAAAAGCAACTTCGTGATACTCTATTACATTTACATGTGCAGCTGGAAAGTATAAACCGGTATTACTTCACCCCTTCCTGTATGTGACTTTCTGCCAAATAGCCTTGTAAAAGTCAAAAATAATAATTTCTTGATTTAACCTCGAACAAGCATTAGCGATCTCTAGTTGTCTAGTCAACCGACTGCCACCGATATCCACTTGTGGTTATTTAATTGCTGTTTAGTGGTTTATGATTTTTATGTATAATTGTTATCTCTGGTATAGTCTCCATTGACTTTCACTACTAATACGCCTTCAATTTGCGAAAGTGGACAATTTTGCTCATCAGTTAATTGGAATAGTATTTATTTTTAAATGTTTAAAATATGCAAGGGGTGGGTGACGTAATTTCCGTTGTAAAGGAGTAAAAGTAGGAATGTTTTATGTCTTCAGCGTGAATCACGTAACATAATAACTTTTGAAACTTGTGATAAGAGGTGCTATCTCATACGATTGGAATTTTGGAATCAACAAAAAACTTTCCCAACGCAGCGGTTGCTTTCAGCAAAAAAGATTTTTAGAAAACCACTGTGTTTAACACAATTGTCTCATGATCAGTATTTAATTTAATATTATTAATATTTGCTGGTCTGTGTCAGTGGATTTCTATATAAATAATTACTGGCGATCTGGGTACATAGTCAATAAATATCAGATTCCAAGATAGATAATGTGTGGCATTCAACATATTCGTTTATATCGATGCAGCCGCCTAGGCAGAAGCTCTGCGACTATTACGATGAGCCTAAAGAAACCTTTTTAATCAGATTTTTCAACAGCTTGAGGTTTAGTATAACCGGGAAAAACCTGCTCAGGTCGGTTGTTCCATAATCTCGATACCCTAGGTACAAAGGAGCGGTCGTATCAGCTTGTTCTGGATGTAAGAGGCTCGACACGGTTAGGATTCAAGATCATTGACGGGTGAGCAGTACTCGAAGCTAGGTCTTTTCTGGGCCTTGTACAGATTTGGGAGGTTATGAGGAGAAAAGTACTTCTTAGCCCTAAACAATAGCCCAGCTTTATCCCAGCAGCTGCCACTTTTGACGAGATTCGTTCATGTCAGAACAAGTTCTCGGTGATCCAGCTAAAACGAACCGACCTTTTATAGAAGTCAGCCATTCATCAAAACTAGATGTGCGCTAAGGCGCTTCTTGTTAGTCCGTAATGTGTCAAGGAAATATTAAACAGTACCAGATTGTTGTGTCCCCGGTTTTTCTTCAAGCAGCAAGTCGCTGCTACTTTCATTTTCTTCAGCTCACCGGCCTGTTACTCCAAATTGATACATGTAGACTGCTGTCATCAGTAAAGCTGTGGATCAGATTAATCGTACAGAAATGGGGGTCTTTGATATGTAAGCAGAACACTGTCGGATCCAAGGCCGATCCCTGGGGAACACCCGGGTTGTCACTGTGGGGCGGAGAGGAGAACCCATTAGTTGCGATTGATATTTTGCAGCTAGAGAGGAGCCAGCAATCCAATGCTTTCATGATATCAAGGGTAGCGAGATGAGCCTGGATGAGTTTAGTCCACAGTTTCGTGAAGTAAGCTAGGCGGTCCCTCGTGGATCTCTGGTGCCAGAAAATATCTGTGCCGTATGACGTTCAAGGTATTCTAGAAGCTTCCAATTTATGCACCTCACTTTTCAATATTTCAAGTGGACAAATTAAACTTTATATCAAGAGGATAGGGATATTGAGCGCTGGAATGCTGCTGTTACGTCACCTTTTACACATATGAGGTTTTCTCCATGTTTTCTGGCCGTGAAATAAGACCACATACGTAGGTTGAGTTTCTAGTAGCGCTTTGTCGACCTTATCTTTCACAGTATACATAAAAAAAGTGAGAGCGACAATGTATCTCATTAACGAAGGAGTTGTGGTACGAAATGAAAGAAGACAACACAGAAAAGCTCCACAATTTCTCTTCTTTACGTATTTATCACGTCTTCTGATACATTGAAGTCAATTAGCTCTTCCAAAATTCAATGTTAAAGATCTGCCAAAGCTCATCGTGTGATCCAGGCCTCTCACAAGTTAGATGAGAAAATAGACACCGACTAGTCATTACAATCCGTCAGATAAGGACTAGGATAAGGATTTGTACCTGTCAAACGGCTCGTATAAAAATGCTTCGTTATTGACACCTTTGGATGACGTAGTAAGTCCTAGAACG